AACATATCCTGGAGTCCAACAGAACTTACTCAAAACCAACATAAAATACTTAGGTTTTTCAAAAAGTTTTCTAGAAATCTTCCAAAGTAAGAGACTATTTTATACTATTCTCACTCACACAATCTCTTTGAGTAGATAAAATGGAGTATATCTTGATATTCTGACATAGTTTGGATCGATTCTGACTGAGTTATGAATTTTCTAATTTTACATGAAAATAGGCAGAAATGGGTTATTTCACTTAGTATAAGGTTTCACTAGATTTTTGAACGTTTTCCGAAAAACAAACATCGCTACGAGAATCAGCATAGTTGAAAATCTATGTTTGGATATAGTACTGGGGCTCCAAATCCTAAAAATGGTCGGATCCGAGGCTTCTCAGGCGGTCCCAGTTAAATACCAATAGCTATTAAAGGAAAAAAGACAGAGGCATTGGACCTGTTTAGTTTTGTAGAGTAGATGTTGCTCTATCTAGATGTAACTTTAGAACAAAAATTTTATTTAGGATCCTATCCGCGGCACTGGCGGGTATTTTGTCCGAGAAGGTAAACTACGTGAAACTGAGGAGCTTCAGATCATTTTTAAGTCGTTCGATGCTCCATGAATTTACTTCAAAATGGTGAAAACCAGACCTCTCTAGCTCATTCTGATCAAACATTATTCAAAAACATCCGAGTCTACTTTATTTTGAAACAGATAGTAATTTGCGTACTTTTTCAAAGTATTTGCTATATGAATACATAATAAACTAACAGAGCATTAAGAACGAGAGCATCAACAGTTCCTTGTTTAAAAACAATGGTAGTTCTTGTTCGAAGGAACTAATACTAGTCGTATGGTTCTTCAGTTCTATGAGCGTGAACTATTGGGCCATTCTTAGGTTAAGAACGGAAATTAGAAAAGAGTTTCCATTCTTTGAATGACAACCGTGAACTATCACAGATCGAATGTAGAAAATTTACAGCGAATTGTCTTAGTTTTTTGTTACATAAATTGTAGGTTAATCGAATAAATTTTAAACTATGGCACGCATAATGTGGGAATAATGGATTTTGTTTATTAAATCTTCTATCGTCATCGTTGCATCTAAAGATATGTTAAACGTTTTTTTAACGATAATATAGTCGTTTCAACAATCTACTCGATTAATTTTTTAGACAAAGTTTTCCCAGCATTGAAAAATCTTCTAATATAGCAATTCCACGCATTGTTCTCCTTTGTTAACTAAAAGAAGAATGATGAATGTATTGATAACAAAGATACTCATATACTTGATAAGCATTCATTTGTAATGCACATCTAACAATTAATTTCAATTGAATTCTTGAATACTGTTCTGGATAACGAATTATTTTCAATCCTTGTTTGTATATCGGAATGTACCTATAACCGTTTATTTAAATATATAAGCATATATAACAGTTTTAGCCTTTCTTCGTACTCATCTTCTCCCAGTGATAAATGTGAGTATGAACGTAAAGCTATTTTCCACCATGTTTGCTGATCATTGGTGCAAATTGTATTTGCAAATAACAATGTTGGATTTAAAAAACCTTGAATAAGAGTATAATTTGAGCATAATAATACAAATACCTTAAAAACAAGGAATTTGATTAATGAAGTGCATATTCAACGTGTATGAAACATCAAAAAATTATTCTTTCTCAATAAGCTTTACAATTTAATTGTTTTCTGTTAAGATAAGACAGTAAATGTATGTTAAAAGCTCTTTTGAGTTTTTTATTTTAAAGGTGAATTACTTGTGTACTTATTTTAGAACAAATATGTGAAAAAGGAGACACTCAAGATTAACTCACAATTAATTCTTTTTCTGTAACATTTCCTGGTCTTGATATTGCTGTTTGTTTCGGTAAACATGTGCGAATGACTAGATTGAAAAACATACATAACTTATAGACACTAAGCAATCGAACGTTGTTGATTTACTATTAAGATCAATTTTATTCATTTTGATCATTGAGCACGTTAACCACACAATAATATTCAAATTTTGAATACAATTTGACTGTATAATACCTAATAGAAAGCATTTAATCTAGTGCAACTAACGAGGGAACCTTTCGAGATGATTAAAAGCTTTTTGATCGACATCTAGTGGGTTATAGGTTATCGACCATGCTGATTACGAATATGATCATGGGACTGGCCCATAG